GGTTAGTTTTTTTGATGCATTTAATAGTTTTATTTATATATAGATATCAAGAACAGAATTTATGCAATATGTAGATCATATGTAAAGGTACATGGCTTTAGACGACCCCAAATTACCGAATGTAGTCTACAAATGCTGGTTCATCGGTACGTATTCAATAATATTGACTAATGCTATTACACATGAGGAACACACAACCCTACCTGTACGTTAAAAATGTGATATTACATAATCACGATCGGACAAGGTTGTGATGTATGTAAATATTTTGTGTAATTGTAACATGAACTGTGAAATGTATTATCGTTATAATTTTCATCATTTAAATGTCGTAACGGTAATGATTGAGCTACAATGCGAATTATGTATTCGATACCACAATGCTGGTACACACGAGGAAAATTCCATGAAATCTAATTTACTAACTTACGTAAAATAACATGAAATTAAATTTCGTAACACAACCCTATAATCAGCTTGTAGCATCATCACATCGATATTTTATCGAATATACAGTACGTCACCTTCTATAGCCAAAACTTCAGATTACCAACTAGAACACTGATTTCTAGTACTTATGTACGTAATATCAAAATTACTCAGGAGTTAACTCTATTATGGTGAAAACTAAAATCGGGTACTTACAGGTTTCCATTCTTCAACACTCGAATAATAAATAAATTATTTATACAAAGTAATCTATGTTTCACAATTGAATCATGTCATTATAACAATAGGATTTTATAATATAGTATAGTATAGATTAGTCTAATAATTCTTGTTCTATTAAATCAGTTGAAATAACATTTACGCTATTACTATTTGAGCTATCGGGAACAAAAAAATCCGATAATCTTAATGGCCGAATATTCATTCCCTATTAAACAGTAATTGTTTTTTAAATAAAGGTAGTAATGAAAAAAATCTTTAAAATGATTTAGCAATAAATACTTCTGGATCAATATCTTTCAACTCGCCCTCCGGAGTCGCATGATTTCGCATATATTCTCTGATCGGAATCATAGCAGCATTTCGACATGCTTCTTTTAAATCACTCCCTTTTGAAATACAAAAATTATTTATGAAATGCTACTAAAAAAAACAAAATACAACATATATAAAAGAGAATACCAGAAAAATTAGCCGTCTGAGACACTAGTTTGTCAAAGTCAAAATTTTCTTCCAAGTTCTGATCCCGTAGCATCTAAATAATTACAATTATATTTAAAACCTAATTTTAAACATCAGATTGTTTTTTTTTTTTTTTTTTTGCTAAAACATTATATAAAAAGGACCAACAATTTCGAGAATATTTCTCCTCTGTTCCTCATTAGGTAGTCGAATCGCAAAACGTTTGGGCATGCGACGGAGAATTGCATAATCTGATTCATTTTTAAAATAAAAATAAGAAAATATATACAATTCGGTTATGGGATTTGAAATATATACCAATATCATTAGGTCTATTTGTAGCACCAAGAACCTAAATAAATGTTATAAGGTTAATTTAATTGTTGGTTAAGTAAAGAATATTGTTAAATGATAATAATAAATTACTCACGACTATGCGTGTATTTTCATCTGTAGTAAGACCATCCCATAAACTATCAAGATCAAATAAACACATCATATTAAATTGACCAAATTAAAAAAAACCCCATATTTAATAAAATTATAACATATTTACCTCATAAATTCAGCTTTCATCATTCCAGTAACCTCATGATCATTACTTCGCCTCTCTCTCAAAAAAGCATCAATTTCATCAATGAATATGATGCATGGTTGAAGCTTTTTAGCAACAGAGAAAACAGCAGAAACCAATTTATTGGATTCACCAAACCATTTGTCTGTCAACGTTGAAACATGAAGATTTATGAAGGTGGCTCCAGATTCTCGAGCAAGAGCTTTAGCAAGCATAGTTTTACCACATCCTTTTTATCAGGAAAAGTTATGATTTATATATAATAATATAAGAATGTATGAAAATAAAACGTTGTCGATTTACACAAAAATAAATACCTGGCGGTCCATGAAGCAATACTCCTTTTGAGACGCCCAATAATCCGGAACTCGAAGTGAACAATTGTGGATAGCATAATGGATAAATAACGGATTCACGGAGAGATTGGATGATTGGATCAAGACCTTTACATGGAATTGGTGATTAGTGATCCAAATAAATATTTCATAATAAAAATAATCCTTTTAATAAAGAACATTACCACCAATTTCTAACGTCAAAAAAATATATTAGATGAGTTTCATAATCGAACTTGTTAATGATGCAACAAAACATACGTTTAAAATTAACAGTTATTTCTTCAGAAAAAATAACTTCCGACAAAATCACTTCTTCGTATTCATTCACTTT